GACTGTTATTGACCATTGTTGTTTCAATTGCTTATAATAAATGCTTGGGGAATTCAACATCAAATTTTCCTCTTTGATTGGGACAAGGACACACACATCCAACTTTTCATTGCTGTCTTCCCTCCAATAGCACATGTTTCAGTCGTGTTAGCTGTATTTGGGGCAACTATCAGTCTAGATACAGCGATAATGACTGCATGATCCAATGGTATATCTGCGTGGCTCGATTGGCAATCTGTATTGGGCAGTTAAACGATGAGGTTCAATGATGATGATGATCGCATTTTATAACAACACAAGAAGAAAGGGGGGAAAACAAATCATGGCCGTTTTGTCTTCCTTTTTTTTTTCTTTTTTTTTTTTTTGTGTGTACCGGCTTTTGCTATCCCAGGCCGATGGTGTGTCAGAGTAGGATCTACTCACAGTTGTATAACTCATCCTGCATAATTCTCTCTTTTTTTTTTAATCCCGAAGATATCCAAAATTTTATTCCTCAGGACCCCGTGGCACATCTCATACAAAAATTGGACCATTTCTCGATTTTTTTTTTTTTTTTTTTTTTTTTTTTTGTGGCTCATCTTCAATTCTCTTTTTCGTTCCAATAAACTCATCCCTGTTTTTTTTTTGTTTTTTTTTTGTTGTGTGTGTGGTGGTGGGGTGGGAGTGGGTGTGGGGTAACTGTTACCCCCCATAATTCTCAATCTGAAGGCAGGGGTTCAGTACAGAAGCTGGAGACTACTAAGGGGCATAATAGTGCCCAAGATTATCTGAGCTGAATTTGTCCGTAATTACTGTCAAATACAGAGAATGAACTTGAACTAGAACTAGAGAGGAATAGACCTGAGTTTCCATTATACCATATGATGGCTAAGTACGTGAATTTGTGAAATTGTGATGCTCTCTGTGATTACTCTTTCTGCTTTCTGCAGCCGGAGCTGGTGATGGAGGATGCAGCAAAGGTTGTTGCAGGCCTGGAGCGTGCAGCGGGCATTTATGGGACCACCTGGTACCGCAGCATGGTCCTTACAGCTATGTCCCAAGATCTCTCCTGGAGGGTGAGTCGTCTACTGTCAGATAGACGCAGAAGCCAAGCAAGTCGTTTAACTTAGTCGTCCGTCATCAGTCCTCCGTCCTCAGTCGTCAGTCTCGCTTCTGTCTGTCAAAACAACGTCCAAACGGGAACCAATGGCCCCATGTGACATCTGACACCAAGGGGGTGGGGGGGTCAACATAATGACAGCAGGCCATACTATATTGTAGACTATAACAATGCCAACAAGTTTTTTTCTGTTTTTTTACACTTCTTTTTCCTTTCTTCGTTTGAATCATTTTTTTAATTTTTTTGCTTTTTTTTTTTCTTAAAAAAATTAATTTGGGCCATTTCTCGATGTATGTGTGTCGTCCTTGCGCAGGGGCCATGCCAATCTGTTCTCGCGCAGGGGCCATGCCAATCTGTTCTCTCTATCGTTACAATTTTAACTGCCCAACACAGGTCACTGAGCTGACTAACTTTGACATTCTGTATCACCCACCAGTTGTGCTCCTGTCACCTTTCGCCTCGGCGATATAATTTTGTATTTTCAACTTTCGAGGTGTGACCTGTTACAGTACCGTTGTACGATATATCATTGCACCTTTCGCCCCTTCGGCGATATAATTCTGTATCATCAGCTGTCTGAGCTGTGCTCCTTTCACCTTTCGCCTCGGCAGACTGGGCACCAAGGTCATCCAGCACGCTGGCGAGATTCAAGTACGACCTACCTGTCGTGGAATGAGGATCGCAGCATGAGAATCCAGAAAGACTACGNGAGAGAGAGAGAGAGAGAGAGAGAGAGAGAGAGAGAGAGAGAGAGAGAGAGAGAGAGAGAGAGAGAGAGAGAGAGAGAGAGAGAGAGAGAAACAAGCGGCCCCCCAATGGAGAGAGAGAGAGAGAGAGAGAGAGAGAGAGAGAAACAAGCGGCCCCGTTTTTTCACGAAACGACATAGGCTCGGGAAAAATCGGCGTGCAGGGCAATTCAGGCTCGGATTCAATAGCTGAGCGAGGTACTGGTGGTTTAACGAGCTGCGCCTTTAGGGCTTTGGGGTACTGGACCACAATGGCTGGAAGCGCCATCCAATCCATAGCTCAGCCTGGGCCAAGTACTGGTGGTTTAAGGGGAGGCTGGCCCCATTTTGCAGTAACAGCCAAAGATGGGTAATGGTCCCAGTACACATTCCTATTTGATTTGGAATAAATTATTAAATTGTTTGATTCCCACACACAAAAAAACAAAAAAGCGCATGTCTGTTCCTCTTTTCTTGAGGCACAGAAGAAATCCAGGTTGGGAGGGACTGGTGGTGATATAATACCGGGGACCGTGTCCCACTACCGTGGGTTTTGTTTTCGCTCCATTCAATGTGTGGCGGCGTGGGACATTGTGCGGAGGTGTGCAACTCTACACTTGTCGTGGAGAAAAAAAAGGTAATTGGAGGATGTTATCATGAGGCCTTTGCAGGTCTGTTGCCTCTACCGACAAATTCGGGTTTGCTGTCCCAAACGTATCCGCCCCTTCCATGGACATAGGGCCTTTCATGGACATAGGGCCTGGCTCCACTACTCACTGGTAAATGAGAATGAATGTTCTGCGTAATCATGGAAAGATACACCATGAGGAGTGTTGTCTTTTATGCATGTGGAGTTAAGGCCATAGTGTGCGACAATAGAGCCTGCCCAGCATTGCCTGCGGGCGAAGGCGCTTCGCCGTTTAGTCATTGATGCACGAACTCATTTTCCACACTCTGTGGTTGCTTGCATATCCGTCTGATCCGTAGCGGCCATAGCTCTGTTGCTCGTCTGGTCTCATCCCGTCTTCCTGGTACCGGCCATAGCTATGGTGGTCGCTTGCATACCTGCTGTGGACGGGTCCGTGGATGGGGAGGATTGTGTGGATAGAACAACAGAAAGCGTTGGGGTGGGCAGCATTGAGTTCAGTGCATTGTCACGGCGACTCGTTGTTTTTTTTTTTTTTTTTTTTTTTTTTTTTTATTTTTTTTTTGTTTTTTTTTTCTTTTTTATTTTCAATGCCGTTTCTGCTGCTTCTATTTTCCCTGCTGCTCCTCCGCCTGCTTTCGCCGTCCATTCAAGAGTATAATTTTCAATCTTCAGCTGGAAAAGCCGAAGAACTGCAAGGCAGTGTAAGCGGAAACAGCATTTAATAATTTTAATTCAGAAGAGACAGCACATGAAGTAAGATTGTAATTTGTCAGGCATGAAGAGTCAGGGGGGGGGGGCAGGCTGAGGGGTGGGTCAGTGATTCAGTGGCAATTTGGTAATTTGATAAATCCTGCCATCTGTTAGCCATTGAAGAGTCAATACCACTGTCCCAGGAAGGATCTCTCGAGTCTCGACCCTAACGCGGCGGGGGTTGGTGAAAACGTGTTCCAGCGTCCCCTTGCATTCCTCATCATTTAGTTGACGCAAGTCCCCTTGCATCTCTCGACTCTCGAGTTTCAAAAATTGCGCAGATTTGATGAAAGGGAGGCTGAAAACGTGTTCCAGCGTCCCCTTGGATTCCTCATCATTTAGTTGACCCAACTCCATTCCATGGCCTATTTTTGGTTCACAGGGGGCGTTGGCATTGGCAACTTGGCAAGTGCCGTTGGTGAGCCAAGAAAATTATTACTCCCAGTGAGACAAAAATAGGTACTAGGCCTAGTTTTGGGTCAGGGGAGGGCCGGAGGGGAGGGGGGTCGGTGAGCCAAATTTTTGGTTCACTGGGGGGCCGGTGGGGGCTTTGGGAAGTACCAATGACGAACCAAAGAAAATGTTCAATAATAAACAATATGTTCAATAATAAAAAGGCCAGGCCCTATTTTTGCTTCACTGGGAGCTTTCCCAAGTACCATGGGTGAACCAAAAATGCTCTCAGTGAACCAAAAAACGGCCTATTTAGGCCTATTTTTGGGTCACTGGGAGCTTTGGCAAGTACCAACACTCTCAGTGAACCAAAAACCGGCCTGCAAAAACCGGCCTATTTAGGCCTATTTTTGGGTCACTGGGAGCTTTGGCAAGTATCGTGGGTGCACCAAAAATCGGCCGAGGCCTATTTTTAGGTCACTGGGAGCTTTGGCCAGTGTTATGTACATGACATTGTAGATGCATTATTCTTAATATACAGGAGGTCCCCTTACATCAGATGTAACCATTCAACATGGCATTCTCTCCTTGTGATGACTCAGAGAGCCTGCGACAGCGGCCTCCCGGACCGCATTCATTGTGTTATAACTCCCAACGGGAGACTTGCCACTGGAGCTCCACCCCTGGGCCCTGGGTGACTACTAGGACTACTGTTTTCACCCGAATAGAACGCCCGGTCATAATAGCTGTATTCGGCACAAGTTTCGGTCCAGATGCAGTGATAATGACCGGGCATTCTATTCGGGTGAAGACGGTAGATCGGATGATGACAGCATTTTGACATGGTCCACTACTAGGACTACCGTTTTCACCCGAATAGAACGCCTGGTCATAATAGCTGTATTCCGCACAAGTTCCAGTCCAGATGAAGTGATAATGACCGGGCGTTCTATACGGGTGAGGACGGTAGATCGGATGATGACAGCATTTTGACTGCTGCCCTTCTTTAGAAGTTTTCACTGCCAGATTAGACCATAACTTCATTCATTCTGTGCTTTCCACATTTTTTTATATACCCTGAGCCAGGCTCCTGCTGTTCACATCTTTATTAATAGCTAAAGCCTAAAGCTAATCCAGTCAGTTGATTGCCTAACCCATGCTTTCTCTCAGTCCGGGGGAGCAGACTCTCCACCCCACTTTTGTGACCCCAGGGCCTGCTAATAGGCTGCTATCCTCTCCCTTTACCTAAGCTTGCTCTTTCGTTCAGCCTTCAGTTATAAAAAATTTTGTGAAAAAGGTCATGGCTCTGGCTCCATAATGGACTAGATCCATTCAGGGGAGCGTCGGTCCGGTTCCTTTCGCATTGCGCAGGTCTGAGAGTAAAGAGGTAAAAAAACTAGGCCTGCGATCTTCTCCATTAAATTTACCTAACCTTGCTCGTTTGTTCCAGCAGCCTTCAGTTGACAAATACAGTGAAAAAGGTCATGGTCCTGGCTCCATAATGGACCAGATCCGTCTGCTTTTTCCCACTGCAGTAAAAGATCATGGTCCTGGCTCCATAATGGACCAGATTCATTAGGAGTCTGAGAGTAAAGAGGTAAACAAACTAAGTTAAAAGTTTACACTAACTTTCTGTGCCCATCAGTTTTAGGACCAATGGATTCTTTGCCTGTCCGTCTGCTTTTTCCCACTGCAGCAGTTGTTTTCATGCGAGCAGCGAGCTGTTGCTTCCGTGAATGTGCCCTTTCCTCTTAGACTACACCTGATTTTCCCATTACTCCTTGCTGTCCGTGATCATGTTCATATGCTTTGCCTGCACGCATTGTTCTTCCTCTGCTCAGTCTGCTCAGTCTGCTCAGTCTGCGGCTGCTTCTGTACTGCCTTCCAAATTCGTTTCTGCTGTTGATTATGTGCCTCTTATTTTTCCTGGATTACCTTGCGAGGCCCCCCTTTTGCACAGTCATTTTTTCTCTCCTGCACTGTCTTCTGCTCTTGCACTCTCTTCTGCTCCTCTTGCACTCTCTTCTGCTCTTGCACTTCCTTCTGCCCTTGCACTTTCTTTCTCCTCTTGCCTGTGTCCAAGTCATGTCTGCTGCTTCTTGTACGGCTTCCTGTCAATCCTGTGTGCCTTGCTCCGCCTCCTTCTTCTGCTGTTGCTTCTGCTATGTGCTCTGCTGCAGGCTCTTTGTCGCATGGGCTGCTGATTCTGAATGTGATGTTTTTGCCTGCCATTTGGGCTAGGCATGCTTCTCCAGGTCCATTTCCTCCTCTCGCTGCTGTGTGTTATTTGTGATATTGTGGATGCTGCTGCTGTCTGCTGTCTGCTGTCTGCTGCATCTTCCCTGCATGCCTAGGTGTTCTTAGTTACTTCTGACAAAAGCCTAGTATTAGGCAATTACCATGACAATTGCCTTATAACGTTCCCCTCATTATGGTGTCAGCTGCCGATCCTCCTGTTGACACTATGTTTCTTGTGTTTCTAATTCTTCCCTTGTCGCAGTGTGTGCTGCTCCTTCTGCTGCTCTGCATGTATTTCTACTGCCACCCCTCCTGACAGTGTGTGTTACATAGTTTTTGTACTAACTTTTCGCATGTTTGTCCTCTTTTCTTGTTGATATGGGTGCTCCGATTTGTCGAGAACTTTCTTACAGGGCCACTACCTCTTCAACTGCATGCTTCTCCTCCGGGCCCCAAAAGTAACTGTGTGTGCTCTGCGTTTTCTGCATGTTCCTCCCCTCCAGCTGCCGCTGAGTGTGTCCGCCCTAGCCTCCTACATGGTTTCACATTCTGTTCCCGCATCTGTTGCGGCTTCCGATGCTGCTCCTAGCTCCCGCTTCTCTCCGTAGAGGTGCAGCTGCGGATTGTGCCGCTACTCCAGGACTTGCTTATGATTCCATTTTTTTCTGCTTCGACTCCTGGTTTTGATTCGGATCTCTTTTGCTTCTCCGCGCAGATCCTCTCCTGCCGATTGTTTCTCTCTTTTTGTTTCAATCATCAGGACCATTTATCGAGTTATGGGTTCATCTTTGTGCATGGCCCGGAGCATGGGACATGATAATATTCTAGCTATTGTTCCTTGTTACAACAGATGTCCTGGACGACAGGCATCTCTCGCTCTCTTTCTTCTCAGACTGCTGTTTCTTTTTTTTTTTTTGAATGCTTCTTGAGTCTTGACAGTCTTGTGCAGTTGCCTGCAGTCAGTGTGCTCCTTCTGCCACTGTGTTTCTCATCATGATGTGTCTCATCATGATGTGTCTCGTCATGATGTGTCTCGTCATGATGTGTCTCGTCATGATGTGTCTCGTCATGATGTGTCTCATCATCACAATTTTTTCAGTCTTCTGCCAATGTTTTCTTATCATGATGTGTCTCGTATTTCATTCTGGTACTTCCTTTTTGCGTTTCACATCCCGCTTATGTTGCTCTCATGGGCCATGGCTTCTTCTGTGCATGCTTGTAGTTTAGAACTCTACTGCTTCAGCTTTTCCGGCTCCTGCGAGTTTTTTACAACTCGGCATGCTGCGGCGGCTGCTTCTGACTCTTCTGGTACAGCTGTTTCTCCCTTCTGCTGCTGCTTTCGCGCTCTTTTTTTTTTTTTTTGGGCTGCTGTCACTTTCTGGTTTTGGTGTCTTCTTGATTCTGCTGCTGCTGCTGCTGCTGCTCATCTTTTCGTTCTGCTTTAGGTTCCGTAGGCTCTCGTACTGCTGCTGTGGCTGCAGTTTCGGCAGCTTCTTCTTCTTCTTCTTCTTCTTCTTCTTCTTCTTCTTCTTCTTCTTCTTCTTCTTCTTTTGGTTACGAGCCTTTCCGAGCTCTCTGCAGCAGTTATTCTGCTTCTGAGCCTGCGGCTAGTGGCTGCGGATGTCTTCCTGACCTTTCTTCTTCTCCCATAGCTTTCACTCCTTTCTTCTTCTCCTATAGCTTTCACTTCGTGTTGTGCACCGACTTATGTCACGGTTGTGTGCTCCTGCATGCACGCGTTGTGTGTGCTGCTTCCTTGGGACGTGGTCTTTTTTCATTTTATTTAAATTATTTTAAGTGTGATGGTCTTCATATGTATGTAGACAGGTGACTGGCTCAGGTTCTTAGTCCACGGTTTCTTGATGGTTCAGCCAGGGTCTTGCTATGAATCTATGCTTTGATCGAATGGTTCAGCCGCCCTACCACTCCCACACTGGCCACGCTCCAGCCACCGGCTGGCTGCTGTTAGCTACTGGCCTGCGCAGAAGTTGCACCTGAAGGCGGGTGCACTCGAGCTGTACTGACTCACAAGCAACACATGTAATTCGGCTATGTTATGCTCGACTCTGGTACGTCTGATCGGTATCCAACCCAGCCGGGAATTGAGCCTGCGCCTATCAGATGCAACAGTTACTTTGGCATGCGAACACTTTAAGCAGCTGGAGCCACCATCTTCACCTGGCCAGAACGCGCAGGCAATGATTGCCGTCTCTAGGATGAAAGTTCGACTTGCCCAAAATACAACAGCTGCGGCTGTAATCCACTGGCAGGTACTATTCAATGCACGTCACCGTGAACATGGTAACCCGTGGGACACCTTGGCGGTCTCCCCTTCCACGTCTGTTGAGTTGCCACGCCCCTCCGCATACTGTTGATCTCCTCTTGCGGCCGGGTTTGCCCATGATTTGGGCCATTTCTTCTGCTGCTCTGCATGACATTGTGCTTCTCCTGCTCCTGCTGCTGCTGGTTTGTGTGTGTGTTAAGTTGTAAACTCTTCTCGGGGACCACACACTTTTCCTCCTGCTACTAGGTGTATTGATTTGTCGACAAGTTCTGCTCCTGCTCCTGTTTGTAGTACCGCTTCTTTGGCATCTGGTTCAAGTTGTACGTCTTGTACTCCTGCTCAGCCTGCTGCTGTGTGTTGAACTGTGTTCTGCTTCTCCCCGTCATATATGCTGCCTTTGGGCCTCGCTGCACTACTCTCCACATGCACAAAAAACAAAAAATATGGCGGTGCATCTTTCGTTAGGGCTCATGCAATGACTCGCAACCAACCTCATGACGTTGTGGGAATGTGTTCGTCCAAAGTACAATGTCTCGACCAGTTGTGCATCAAATGGAAATATGGTTCTGATGGGGATATGAGGCTGGTTAGGCTAGGTATAATAGGTGACACTGTTTGTTTGCTACTCTCTTTTATCTGACGGCCAATCTTCAGTCGGAACAGAAGAAAGGTCAGTCTGAGACTGATCGTGTTCTCCGTGACTTGCCAATGAGAAGAAAATAATGTGATAACCCCAAAACCGAATTCAGCCCCTAACACAGTACAGAAAAAAAGGCAGATTCTGAGATCATAGTGCACACCATGCGATGGATTCCTCATCCTCTTCACAAACGCCCTCGTGTCTACATCACCCATACCCTGTCTCATGGATTTCCACAGTCCCTCATAGCTAGATGATACCCCCCTCCAGATCATCATCCTTGTCGCTCTGTTCGTCTAAGACATGATTCTCATCGAGATGGCGAAACCCTGTTGCTACCATCTTCACCCAACTAGGCACGGATCTTGTCCATTTCCTCTTAATACCCTGTTGCTACCATCTTCACCCAAGTAGAACGCCTGGTCATTGTCGCTGTATTTGGTACAACTTTCAGTCCCGATGCAGCAGTAAGCACTGGGCATTCTATTCAGATGAAGATGGTAGCCTCCTTTCTCCCTTTCTCCTCACCTCCCAGCTTGATCTGATTTATGGTGGCGAGTCTGGCGACGTCCTTCTCTAACCCCATGTCATCCAGATGCCTTCCCCCTTTGCCTCCCACTCTCTTGATGTTATTTCTGTCCGTTCCACTCTCTCTAAAAAATTCCTCACTCATATCAGCATTGTCAACACTCGTTCTCTCTTTCATATGGATTTTCCCTTAAACCCCTCCCGCCCCCCTCCCCTACACCCCCCATCCCCCACCCCCCCACACACACACCACCACCACCACCATCTCCCTCCACTACCTCATGAGCATCATTGACAGTCTTTGTTACACCTTACTATTAGTAGTAATTTAGTACTGTTATAATTGGTTCTTCTTATTAAAAAATAATAATAATAATAATAATAATAATAATAATAATAATAATAATAATAATAATTAAATAATAATAATAATAATTGGTTCTTCTTGCCTGCGCTGTTGCTTATCCAGGGTCCTGCAAGAGCTTGGGAGCAGGCAATGCTGACTTTGCGCCAAGAGGGGAGAAGTGGAGAGGCAAAGCCGAGTAAAATCGTGCCCGGAAAGAGACCAAGCGAGGATGATATTGGGACAAATTGGACTTTCAGGAACACTCAGTCTTGTTCATCAAGCAACAACCACTCTTTCAAAAATCATATGGCGTAGAAACTGCCGACAAGAAGATTATTGCAGAATCAACGCAGAGAGGGGATATGCGAGGAGTAAAAGACTGAAGTCAAGGAGGACAATGGAAAGGGTGATATCGAAGATCATTTCAAATGTGCTCTTTAAGTACGGACTGTGCAGTCATTCCTGCAGAGAGAGGAGATATCGAAGATCATTTCAAATGTGCTCTTTAAGTTAATGTCACTTAATGATCAGTCTCTGAGCAAGCATCCACCTCCCTGCCAGGAACATATGACATTGTTGCTATAGAGTTTAGACTCGATACTGAGGTTTGCTGAGCTCGTTATGAAAGACTATGCATTGTCTACATAGGATAGACAGTCATTAGAAACTCACTGTGACAATCATTATGTCATAGCTGACAGTTGCATAGGCTGTTGAGGACACTGCCAGCTTGCTGTGAAAATAACACACTCAGTCTGCTGCCTGGAGCCTGGACATGTCTGTGACTCTGTGCCACTCTAGCAGACTGAAAACCGATATTAATTGGCCGACGTATCATTCCAAGACTTGTATTCTGCTTTCTTACATGCTTACCTTATAATTGTTTTCCCTCCTTCATTCCTCATACCCCGCTTTGTTATATGCTTAGTACATCGCTTACCTTTTTATATTTCATGTGCTATTTTAAAAGATAATCATTGTAATGTGTTGTTGAAACAGTCGACGCATCATTCCAAGACTTGTATTCTGAAATGCACAACCGATGTACTTAGGTCAATGTGCGAACACCTGTTTGCTTTTCATCGCACCGGAAGCTTATATTTCTGTTCTCTTAGTGATGCTCATTTGTATGTGTTTGTGTGCAGTGGGTGTGTGTGGGTGGGGTGGGGATGGGAGGAAGGGGGAGGGTGTCCAGGTTGTATGTGTGTCACAGTGTGCCTGTCGTGTGTGTGTTTTAAACTGTCACCACCAGAACAACCCCTTTTCCACCAGACTAAATCCAAATTTGAAGTAGCCTTACAGTATAATTGTTCAGCCTCCACTGAAAGAAGTCTGGTGTTGACCCTACGACTCATTTCTGGGAGCGTTGGGGGATCATGTCATACTGCTTTGAGTTGAATTGAATTGGTGATGGAGCTCCGTCCACTCTTTTCGGAGACCATTAGGGTCAGATCAAACCCCATAAGGGTCAGATCAAACCCCATAAGGGTCAGATCAAAAAGGGTCAGATCAAACCCCCCCATAAGGGTGAGATCAAACCCCATAAGGGTCAGATCAAACCCCCCCCATAAGGGTCAGATCAAACCCCATAAGGGTCAGATCAAACCCCGTATTAAGGGTCAGATCAAACCCCGTATTAAGGGTCAGATCAAAACCCGTATTAAGGGTCAGATCAAACCCTATTAGGGTCGGATCAAACCCCATTAGGGTCCGATCAAACCCCATGATAAGGGTCAAATCAAACCCCATATTAAGGGTCAGATCAAACCCCATATTAAGGGTCAGATCAAACCTCATTAGGGTCAGATCAAATCCCAACCATCAGCCTCTGAGGATCAGATCAAGGTACCTTCAAGGCTTCACCTTGGTAGAATATAGTTTAAACTTTAAAAGCATTTAATTTAATGATATGGTCAACACCTTGAGCTGCCTGTCAAAGAGAAAAGCATGTGGACTCAAAAATTTTCTTGAGGAAAGAGACGCGGACCGTCTTCATTTCCTGTTTTGGTCAATCAGGGGGATTGAGACGGTGTCCATTTCCTGTCTGGGTCAAGCAAGGAGAGCCATAAGTTCTTCATTTCCTGTTCTCATCCAAAGGCAACAGATGTAAGTGGTTATGAAGTGGATTCATCCATCATGATGATCCAGTTTTCTTTTTTTCTTTTTTTTGACTTCTTTTTTTTTTTTCTTCTTCTTTTTTTCTTTTTTTTTTTAACAAAAAGCTCCAATCTATTGGTGGGGAGCAGCACCTGCTGGAAAACGGGTCCAGCGTCCCATTATAGATCACAAAAACTGAGTTTGACCTGCCAGCATTGATTGCCCTTGTCATCAGGGGATTGACTGATCAGGTAGTGGAGTGAATTGACAGTTGCAAATAGGAGTTTGGTCGTAACCGAAGAAGATCGTATTGCTGAACCACCTCTTCAACCCTTACCACATGTAATGGCCCGTCAATACACGGACTGAAACATACAGTCGATTTCTGATTTCTGCTCATAGGATGCATGCCGTACTAAGTTCCCTGCCTGTCGATGTGTTTGCTGGGTCTGAGTGCGTGCTTGTTTGTGGGTTGCATGACTGTGTGTGGCCTGCATGTTGTCGGAGTGCCTTGAGTGTGTGTGTGACCTGTATGGGTCTGTGATGGCTGGGCAGGCCCGTGGGAGGGCCGGTACTTACC